CAGTTGTTGAGTTGTAAAAAAAAAAATCACGTCTATTCACAATCAATTCGCGATCACTTGAAATGAGAACAAAATCATCGTTGCTGTTATTACTACAGTACACGCCAAGGAACAAATCGATTTTTCTAAAAAAAAAAAATCATCAAAATCGTTTTGTTAACTTGACATAACCAGTCTGTTTTCAGGGTCAGTTTCATTGATTAGCTATGCTAGGTCAGTCCAAAAAACCTGACTGGGGAGTAAAATGTCCAGAACTGGCAGCTCTTAATTGCCTGGCTGTATCTCACCTTTGCTGGCTGACTCTAAGCAAATGTCTGGTTTGTCGCGTGATTGATCTGTGGAGCCACACGTTGGGACAGGCCTTAATTGCCGGACCCTCGTGTCCGGACGTTGGGACAGGCCTTAATTGCCGGACCCTCGTGTCCGGCTGGTTCAGACAAGCTGGTACCGGTGGGCATGTGGGCCGCGACATTTCACACCCGTTCACACAATTGGTCTGGGGGGAAGGGGTGGGGTGGGCTGTAGGAGCTGCGGCATCAGACATCCGGTTGTCTGGGGTGGGGGGTATGGAATGGTGTCGTAAGTAGGGTTGTGTAATTAGGTTGTGTGGGGTGGGGGTTAAGGAATGGTGTCGTAAGTAGGGTTGTGTAATTAGGTTGTCTGGGGTGGTTTGAATGGTGTCGTAAGTAGGGTTGTGTAATTAGGTTGTGTGGGGTGGGGGTTAAGGAATGGTGTCGTAAGTAGGGTTGTGTAATTAGGTTGTCTGGGGTGGGGTGGTTTGAATGGTGTCGTAAGTAGGGTTGTGTAATTAGGTTGTGTGGGGTGGGGGTTATGGAATGGTGTCGTAAGTAGGGTTGTGTAATTAGGTTGTCTGGGGTGGGGGGTTATGGAATGGTGTCGTAAGTAGGGTTGTGTAACTAGGTTGTCTGGGGTGGGGTGGTTTGAATGGTGTCGTAAGTAGGGTTGTGTAATCAGGTTGTCTGGGGTTATGGGTATGGTAATCTCGTTGTGGTGGCGGTGTACAGTGTCTTACTAATGGTACCGTTGAGAGCTGTTTAAAGTGTAGTGTCTCATGAATATTTTACTGTAATCACTACATATCAGATTACTGTTAGATACAAATCTTTATTATTAATGATTGAAAACAATTGAGCCAGTCTGTACCATTGTTGTGGTGATTGGAGCTGGCTAGATTGTGTTGTGTACCACGTCAGTCTGTACCATTGATGTGGAGCTGGCTAGATTGTGTTGTGTGTCAGTCTGTACCATTGATGTGGAGCTGGCTAGATTGTGTTGTGTACCACGTCAGTCTGTACCATTGATGTGGAGATTTGAACTGGCTAGATTGTATTGTGTGTCAGTCTGTACCATTGATGTGGAGATTGGAGCTGGCTAGATTGTGTTGTGTGTCAGTCTGTACCATTGATGTGGAGATTGGAGCTGGCTAGATTGTGTTGTGTACCACGTCAGTCTGTACCATTGATGTGGAGATTGGAGCTGGCTAGATTGTGTTGTGTGTCAGTCTGTACCATTGATGTGGAGATTGGAGCTGGCTAGATTGTGTTGTGTACCACGTCAGTCTGTACCATTGATGTGGAGCTGGCTAGATTGTGTTGTGTGTCAGTCTGTACCATTGATGTGGAGATTGGAGCTAGCTAGATTGTGTTGTGTACCACGTCAGTCTGTACCATTGATGTGGAGATTGGAGCTAGCTAGATTGTGTTGTGTACCACGTCAGTCTGTACCATTGATGTGGAGATTGGAGCTGGCTAGATTGTGTTGTGTGTCAGTCTGTACCATTGATGTGGAGATTGGAGCTGGCTAGATTGTGTTGTGTACCACGTCAGTCTGTACCATTGATGTGGAGATTGGAGCTGGCTAGATTGTGTTGTGTACCACGTCAGTCTGTACCATTGATGTGGAGATTGGAGCTGGCTAGATTGTGTTGTGTACCACGTCAGTCTGTACCATTGATGTGGAGATTGAAGCTGGCTAGATTGTGTTGTGTGTCAGTCTGTACCATTGATGTGGAGATTGGAGCTGGCTAGATTGTGTTGTGTACCACGTCAGTCTGTACCATTGATGTGGAGATTGGAGCTGGCTAGATTTTGTTGTGTACCACGTCAGTCTGTACCATTGATGTGGAGATTGAAGCTGGCTAGATTTTGTTTTTTCTGGAACCGGTTAAAATCGATTCTGCTTTTAGCGTCGATACAATTAAAAAATTAACAACTAATGACATAATCACACATTTTGTGAAACCTTTCTTGTGGTTTTAACGAAGCACACTTTGAAAAAAAATAATTAATGTAATTATAATTTTTTGACCATAAGTGTTAAAAAATGTGTCATTGAACGGTGTTATAATAAAATGTAACAAATATCTAGAAAAAATATTCTGGAGCCCAAAAACTAATATTTTTCCCTGGTCAGTACTAGACTGACTGATGTAATGCGTTAGGACCTCTACAGCCAACATTTTGCCATGATTAGGTCATCTGTAGCGTCAACATTTAGCTGTAACATTTGCCTGATTGAAGAGCTTGTATAGCCGGTCTGGAGGAGTAGTGAAGCGATGTCGGGCCCACAGTATTCTTGTCACGTTGGCCGCCCGTTGCCTCTCGTTTAAAACCTTGAGATCGTGCTGTTTCAACCGACGAGAAACCAGCAGTAAAAAAAAAATGTTCTCTCCTAAATGGTAGGACAGTAATTGTAGTGAATAGTATTGGGTTATTTTTCAGTGTTAGGATTTTGTTTAGTCTGGGATCTTGTTAGGATTAGGGCTATGGTTAGGCTAGCGGTGCTAGCAAATGACTAGTCTCGACGCATATTTAAGAGTTGGTCTGTAGATTAAGTCACTTGGGAGTGTAGGGGAGGGGGGGGGGTCATGCGATGAGTCAATGGAAGTCAGAAAGTATAGGCGTAGTGTCTACTGGTTAATATGTTTTGTGAATCTTAAAATTAAATTGACAAAAAAAAATACACGCGAATTGTCATTAATATTTAGGGACGTGGCCTTGCTTTCTGTGTGGTATAACCGTGTGATGCCTAAGACTGGTGGGACAAAAGGGTAACTCAAGAAAATTAAGGCGTCGTCTCCAAATGTAAATGTTGTACATCTCTAACTCTGCTGTTACTTGGACTGTCCGGCTGAATTGGTTGCATGTCATTCAAAATGTAAATGTTGTACATCTCTAACTCAGCTACTTCTTGCACTGTTTGGGTGAAATGGTTGCATGTCATTCAAAATGTGAATGTTGTACATCTCTAACCATGCTGTTACTTGCACTGTTCGGTTCAAGTGGTTGCATGTCATTCAAAATCTGAATGTTGTACATCTCTAACTCTGCTATTACTTGCACTGTTCGGTTCAAGTGGTTGCATGTCATTCAAAATGTGAATGTTGTACATCTCTAACTCTGATGTTACTTGCACTGTTCGGCTGAAGTGGTTGCATGTCATTCTGATGGAGATTTCCTGGATCCCCGGCAGCCGAGTGTACCCACATGCCTGTTACCAGCCACTCAGATCACGTTTACCAGCACACCCACACGAGACTTCCTGTTTCTTGAGCCACGTATTGAGCGTGAAGCCAGAATGTGCTCTTTATAATGCGATAGCTATTAGGTGTGTTAAGCGGGCCTGTGCATGCCGAAGTGAGCGTTGGGTGTTTTTTTTTCCTCGCTCTAGTCTAAAAATAGCAGCCGAATTTTACAGCTCTCTGGCGCGAGTCTATTTTTAGCTCGAAGTTAAACTTTGCCTAATATCCTCAACACCCGAGCAGTTGGCTTGTCCTTACGTAATTGAATCAACTTGCTCCTGTCGCTTCTCGCGCATGCGCGGACGTGTTTTTATAGGCATGTCACTGTCCCCTAACGGACTCCATTAGTGCCAATAAAAATATTGCAAGCAGGAAAGGAATGTGTATTAATTATTAACATTGGTTAATTGATTTTATGTTCAGAATGTGTCGGAATTGTAGGGCTTAGATCTCAAATGTTATTTTGACTGGTGCATATTCGATGGTTTATGGGCGAATTTTAATAATTTTTCCTTAACTTGGGGTCTTAAAAAAGGTTAAGGAGCTTCTTTACAAATAAGTAAATTGGGAGGTGGAACGAATGCTTCAGCATATCTTTAAATTCAGTACGATGTCTCTAGACTGAGCCATCATCCTTAAAGAAAAATGGTCTTTAGGGATTAAATAAGGGTCTTACAGATTAAGCAGAGGTCTTACAGATTAAGCTAGATCCTAAAGGATTAAACTAAGGATTAAGCAAAGGGTCTTTTAATGTTGAAGCAATAGTCTAAAGGATTAAACAGTGGTCTTGCAGATTAAGCTAGATCCTAAAGGATTAAACAAAGGTCTTTAAGGATTAAGCATGGGTCTTTAAAGAAAGCAAAGTTCTTTAGACTAGGCATTGGCTCTGAAAATCGTCATTACTTATGTTTTGACTGGCCATAGGTAAATATTTGTCATCTCAGCTCACGTATTCAGATTACTGTATAGCTTGTGTTTATTGCCTTTATTAATTAAATACAAAGGTAGACAAATGATACAAATATATACAAATCAACTTAAAATTAAATGATTAATTTTTAAAAAGCAGTGATCTATTCGTTTTTCTAGCAGCTTATGACTTATAAGGAGTATTAATTTATTATCAATTTTATCTTTCAGTGAGTTTTAAGATTTGTTTATAAGATAAACTTCATAAAGAAATTGATAGAGGGGTGATAATTTCATCTTAGAGCAAGTAAAGTCTAATAGTTCTCAACTTAAATAGGAGTAACATTGAACCATTGAGGTTCCTCCAGTGAATGCCGGCCGTATTGTAATATCATTCATACTTCATTGCCATACATGTCACTCCATCTTTGTGGATCAGCAGATGTTTTAATAGAACCATGAATGGCCATCATTAAGAACCATTCAGGGATGTCTTGGTTTAATAGAAATTATTTCTCACCTCTTCATTGATTTGTTTTTCTGTTTTCAGATTTCAGAGGGAGGAAAGAGTTGATTGAACATTATGATCCAGCACAGTCCAGCTTCATAATCAAGCATAGGGAAGAGACTCGAAGTGAGTTATTAACATATTTGATATGTTTGTTAGCATGGGGGGTGGGGGTCATGTTTGCCTGTGGGGGGGGGGGGTCACATTAGCAGATGGTGGTGGGGGGTCATGTTAACCTGTGAGGGTCAAGTGTTGGGTGACATAATCAATTATAGGGAAGAGACTCGAAGTGAGTTATTGACATATTGTATGTTTGTTAGCATGGGGGGTGGGGGTCATGTTTGCATGTGGGGTGGGGGTCACATTAGCAGATGGTGTTGGGGGGGTCATGTTAACCTGTGGGGGTCAAGTGTTAGGTGACATAATCAATTATAGGGAAGAGACTCGAAGTGAGTTATTGACATATTTCATATGTTTGTTAGCATGGGGGGTGGGGGTCATGTTTGCATGTGGGGGGGGGGGGGGTCACATTAGCAGATGGTGTTGGGGGGGGGGGTCATGTTAACCTGTGGGGGTCAAGTGTTAGGTGACATAATCAATTATAGGGAAGAGACTCGAAGTGAGTTATTGACATATTTCATATGTTTGTTAGCATGGGGGGTGGGGGTCATGTTTGCATGTGGGGGGGGGGGGGGGGTCACATTAGCAGATGGTGTTGGGGGGGGGGTCATGTTAACCTGTGGGGGTCAAGTGTTAGGTGACATAATCAATTATAGGGAAGAGACTGGAAGTGAGTTATTGACATATTTCATGTTTGTTAGCATGGGGTCAGGGGTCATGTTAGCCTGTGGGGGTCATGTTTGCCTGTGGGGGGGGGGGGTCACATTAGCAGATGGGGGTGGGGGGTCATGTTAACCTGTGAGGGTCAAGTGTTGGGTGACTGGGTGACATAATCAAGCATAGGGAAAAGACTCAAGTTATTGACATATTTGATGTTTGTTGGCCTATGGTGGGTCTTATTAGCCTGTGGTTGGGGATCATGTTAGCTTGTGATCGGGGATCATTTTGGTCTGTAGCGGGTAATGTTAGCTTGTGGTGGGTCAAGTGTCGGGTCACATAATCAAGCATAAGGAAGAGAAGTTATTGACACATTTTTACATATGTTAGCCTGCTGTGGGTTGTTACCTTTTTGAGCTCACATTTAAAAAAAAAAGGTTTGCTATTTTTTAATTATTTATCTGTTTATTGGGGGGGGGGGGGGGGGCTATTTCAACATTTAAAATATTAAAAGTCAGTTTTCTATTGCCAAACTTGTTTGAATGGAGAGCTAACCTGATGTCTATTTTCTTTGCCAGACGTCAAGACCTACTTTATAGTGGGTCGCAGGCCAGGAAACATTGGCATACCAGGATTGGAGCAGCTGGCAGATGAGAGACCACCTGAACTTAGGAGAGATGTGAGAATCTTCCTTGTAACCCCTCCTAGCCCCAGAGATATGATAAGGATGGGGATGTGGTTAGAGATAGGGTTTGGGATAGGGATACTGAAAGGAATAGAAGTCTGGGATAGGGATACTGAAAAGAATAGAGGTCTGGGTAGGGATAGACATAGGTGAGGGGTGAGGGTAATAGAGGTCTGGGTAGGGATACTATAAAGAATAGAGGTCTGGGTAGGGATATATATTGGTGAGGGGTGAGGGTAATGTCCTAGAAACCCCCTGCCCCCCCATTACACACATTAGTCACTTGATGTACAAGCTCATCGATCATGATATAAAGAAGTTGTTGAAGTGATAAATTGAGTTGAATAACCAGGAATGTGTTGGTCATACATGAGTGTAGTTCTCAGTTTATTTTGTCCTTGGATATCTCCAAAATCTGACTCTTTAAGGAGTTTATTTCAAATGGACAAATTTTGAAAATAAAAAAGTTAATTTTTTAAAATTTGTTTTCAGCGAGCTCCGTCCTCCACAGAAATAGACACCAGTGGTAAACCTGCACCACCTGTCTCTACTTACACAGCATACACAAACTCTAGCTCCGCAGAAAACGATGTACGTGTTTTAAAAAAAAATTTTTAAACGCAAATAATTTTTAAAATACTTATTTATTAACCAAACATAGTGAAAAAGGCATTCTGAGTTGGTTGAATTTTAAAAATGTTGGTACTGAAATGATGAATAAGTGAATAAGCTGATGTCAATGTTTTAGGTTGATGGTGGGAAAGGAACAGCAGAGTTACTTTCCATGAGAGCTATGTTACATCCAGTCACAAGTGAAGACAAGCCAAGTGACGACCCGAGTAAGTATATTATTTTTTTTCACTCGAGTAACTAGCCAACCTTTTCCACCCGTAACCTTCTAATACGAAACTGTTAAACCTGCTGCTTACAATTTTATCACCTCATCTACTAGTATTGGAGCCAGCTCGTCTCTATGCTGACATGGCTTTGGGTAGGAAAATTCTGGGAATGTTCAGGCCTCAGGCCACCAGACTATGCAATGTCAACATGTTCATTATTAAAATTTCTCCCCAGAACTTCTCATAAGTGTCTTTCTCTCCCCCTCTCCCCTTCCCTATCCTGTTTGTGATCAACAAACACACACACATTTATTGCCCAGAAGTTTTTCTTAAGATGAAAAAATGTTCATGTTATGAACATGGTTTCTTTCAGAAATTTAGGGGGGGGGGTGTCTTTGTGTGAGAACATGATACTCTTAGATCAAAGGGGAGGCACTGGTTCAAGTATAATATTTTCTATATTAAAAAAATTAATTTATGGATATACATGGGGGGGGGGGAGAGAATAGAGCAGTACTGGCAAGTTAAGGTATGAAACATACACTAAAATTTTATTCCAATCAATGATGGGCAATATAAAATATTTGTCCAGTGGGTTGCTATGGTTTCACTCCCACACACAAGTGCTCTCCCTTTGTCATTATCCCACTTATCCACAACATCTATGTAATGCTGCTATTTATGAGCTTGATGTTGTTTTTTTTTTTTTACCTTTCTACCAGTTCATGATGTATCAAAAGCTGAATATATTTCTGCACACTTTGAACATTATTTTTTTTTTTACTGCCTAGTGCCATCATATTCAAAAATGTATTGTTTTTTTTTTCTGCACAGACTTTCCCAGTGAGTGTTTCTGTTGTCTGATATCTATTTTTCTGTTAACGATGTGTGTCTGCTGTTTGTCAGACTTTCCTGTCAACAATCTGTTTGATGTTTCTTTCTTCTTGGAATGTGCATGTATAAACAAAACCTGTTTTGTATAGATAGTTGTAATAACCATAAAACATGTTATTGTTCTGTTTCTTGTTTCAACTTTTTATGTTTCAACCTTATAAAACACAAGTAAAAGGTGTGTTAACTACTGTAAACTTATACTAGCAACCAGTTTATAAGTTAAATGTGCCAAAGATCCTAACAAAATCACATATGTAGAAGTGTTCAAATTTGTAACTTTTTTGTTCTATCCCATTCGGTGGAAAAATATTTGGGAAACAATGTCATTATAACATACAGCAGTTCTCCAAGGGGGCAGTTTTCACGTAAATGTATGGCACAAGAGTTGAAATGGCAGTATGGCACATTAAGTGTAGAACTTTAGATGCTCTCAGTTGTCTTGTTTTTTTTTCTATTTAATTAGAGCCCATCTCATTAAGAGCTGTAATTTAGTCAGGACTTAATAAGCCTACTCAATTTCTCCAAGATAATTAATTTACAAAAAATCTAATTTATGTAGGCATTGTTTATATTTTTGGATGGAATAAACTGAGTTGAATAACCAGGAATGTGTAGGCCATACATGAGTGTAGTTCTCTGTTTATTTAGCCATTCTGCCTTGGATATCTCTAAAAACTTATGGAATCTATTTTAAAATGATAATGTCTTAAAGACTATTGTTCTTTCTTCAACCACTATAAAAAACTAAAAAACTTGTATCCTTTCTGATGGGAAAATAGTTGTGGTTAAAATGAGCTTGTGTTATTGGATAGAATGGCCACAAGTACACTGTTGCCTTGTCTGGGGTTGAGTAAAAATTGTTTGTTGTCTATGCTAGAAGTGGGTGCTTGTGTAATTCATCAAAAACCAATGATTTGATATCCTGCAATGGAGACTGTACTAGCGCAGTGATGCACTAACATTGCAGTACACAGCTGGTGATGCACTAACATTACTACACATCATTACCCCTTGTAACCAGCACGTCTGTGTACACGTGTAAGTGTATGTATGGCACAGGTGACTGTCTGCACCATCTTGTAATGACCTTGACTCTTCCACAGCTGGTGCCGCCCCAGTGACCAGCACACCATCCAATCCTAGCACATCATCAACATTGCATGATGGTGAACTTAGGTTTAGAGCTTTCTGCAAAGGTCTTCTCTTTTGCCTACACTATTTGATATAGTCCTAGTACAGCCTAGCTGGTGTTTTCTATTTGCTTCTGTGCTGCTTGTACTTGCTTTAACTTGTATGGGTTGTTTTTTTTTTGTCTTCTACTACACTTCATCCAGCTAAGCCAGAGAGTATATATGACTTTGGTGTTTCGCATTTCTTTACCATCTAAACAGGGAAGTAATGAGCTACAGGAAACTGAGCTAAAAATGGGGAAAAAATATATAGAATTGTAGTTTGTTTTTAATTTAGTTTTGTAGAAGTATATGAATAACATGTGTATGATGTAATGTTGAAGCATTACACCGTTTTCTCTAATTGTTATTACTAATGTATCAGTACCATGTATATTTTTGTATCTAAGCTGGCTGTGGCTATAAAAAAAACTGTACTGCTAATCACTGATGTATCTGTACCAAAGCTATTTATCATCATATGAAGTGCCTACTTCAACACATATCCGCGCTGTTGTTTTCCACAGATAGCTGATCATAATTTTTTTTATCTCTAAATTTTACTCCATTTTTCTTTACAAAGCTGGATAAAACTAATTCTTGCCTAGTTTATGTGGAGGGGTTACGGTCATCTATTGCTTTCTGCTCTCTTGGTTGTCTGTTGCTAAAGTGGTAGTTAAGGTGCAGGGTATTTAACTAACTAGGGAGTTTGAAATCAATACGCTCAATGTGCTTAGTGATGGGTTTCAACTATTCTTAGCCCCATGAATTGGGGGAAATTAAAGGCTGTTTTATTGGTGAGTTGGACTAGAAGATTGGTATTTGATTTAGGGGGAAAAGCTGGGCCTTAACAGTACAACTGTATTACAGTAAAACTTGTTTAGTTCTGGGTACACTAGAACTCTTGTCTAATTAGAACAGTATAGCTCTTGCTTAGTATATTACAGTACTATAGGTCTAGTAGACTTGTCAGTATAGTACAACTCTGGTCTAACTAGTGCATTAAAAGATCTTGCCTAGTACATCACAACCCTGGCAAAACACACTACAGTTTTCCTCTGGTCACCCTAGTATGTTTTGTTTTTTTACAACTTAACATAATCAACACTGTAGTAATACATTTGGCTAGCTTTTCAAGAAATTTTTGGGCTTGGGATTTTACAGTTGTATACAGAACTTGGGCAAGTAGAACAGCTCTACAATTAGTTTTGTTGAGTATTACAGTAGGCTAGTGTTGTTGGATTACCAGTGTATTCTGGTTGTAGAGTGCCAAAAATGTATTTATTGCTAATTATTGAAGGAAAAAACATAATACCAACGCATATATTAATAAATAGGATATGTTTGTCTGCATGCTAGGATTTTGTGCTCATACATGTTAATTGTGATTATTGTGTCGTTAACTAACAAAAAAAAATGTAATTGTACCACTTTACAAGCTGATATTTAAGCCCATATATTTAACATTACAAAAAGCTTATTAAAATTAAACCATACACCTGTTTTACTTTTTAAATATTTACTGAACTTCATTAAAAAAAGTGTATGTGTTTTGGTTGGGGATCCATATCTTTTGTTACAACTACATGGTGCTGAGAAAATAAAATTGATGCCAAATATTGTCAGTTAATTACGCTGTTTAAATATGCATACATTTTGCCAGTAATTTATTTGGAGCAATCATCTAATCTAAAATTGTCCCATCTTGAGCTGACAGAATTAATTAATTTTTATTTTTAAAAAAAATGACATGCCAATGATTTAAATATTACTTGCATAATTAGATGAAGAATAATTAATTAATCAATTCATTTTTAGGAAACGTGATTTTTTAAAATTATTTTGGGGTGGGAAAAAAATTATATGTTCTGCTGCATCTGATTTCTTGGAGATTTGCTTTTTTAAATAGAGTCTGTTTATAGTTGAAGTAATACTTACAAATATATAGTTATCTTGAGCGTCATCTCAAGTTTTGATGTTTGGTTTGTTTTATAATGATGAGGAAATTTTGTTTCAGATGCAAAAGCAGACACTACACTGTTGGAAAAAGAGAAGAAGTTTTCCATTACAGATCAAGACAAACTTTTGATTGAGGTGAGCTTAAACTTGTTTGGGAGGTGAGGTAAAAACTGATGGTGAGGTGAGCTTAAACTTGTTTGGGTAGTGAGATAAAACCTGTTGGTGAGGTGAGCTAAAAATTGTTTGGGAGGTGAGGTAAAACCTGTTAGTGAGGTAAAAATTGTTGATATGGTGAGGTGATGTAAAAACTAATGGTGAAGTGAGATTAAATTGTTGATGAGGTGAAAGAAAAACTGATGTTGAGGTGAGATAAAAACTTACTGAGGTATGATTTGGTTTAGTTTAATGTAGTGGACTGCTTTTTGGGTGCTTTATTCTTTTTATTTTAAAAACCTGAAAGTCAGCTTTGTTAGGCTTAGCACCCTAGTTGTTACAATATTTATTTATACTTGTTTATTATTACACATTTTGATTCAGTTTTATGTGGGGAATCAGAAAGATCATAGCTAAAGTAATAAGATGAAGGTATAGGCATGTAGACCAAAAGATAAAATGTTTTCTGCAGCTAATGGAACAAGAGAGCAGTAATGATTTGTCACTGTTCAAACCTTCGCTCAACAAATGGTCTCTCAACTTTGACAAGGAGTTGGAGCATGAGTACAGGCACCAGTTTATTGACAGGTCAGTTACTTGGGCATATGCAATTACCTGGGGCATGTACAATCACCTGGGCATATACAATCACCTGGGGCATATACAATCTTCTGGGCATATACTATCTTCTGGGCATATACTATCTTCTGGGCATATACTATCTTCTGGGCATATACTATCTTCTGGGCATATACAATCACTTGAGCATATACAATCTTCTGGGCATATACAATCACCTGGGCATATACAATCACCTGGGCATATACAATCGCCTGGCCTTAAAAAATAAACTGAGGCTTATATATTCACCTAAGGCTTAAGCAAGCATTCTGTCTGAGATTTTATAAAACATATCGGTAATCTATCAACTCCTGCAATCTAATATTTACTCAAAATGCAAATGAGTAGAAACTGAACCTGTCATAGATAAACAAACCTGTATATTGATTATTCTGTTATCAAAAACCTTATTTTGTAGCACTATTTTAAAGGGGCTGCTTAACACTGGATCAGTCCTCATAACACTTGATCAGATTACCAAAAAGGTGAAAGCATTGTGTTAGTGGCTTTTATCCATCTGATTCATGATCCAGCAAAATTAATTTCCATGTATTTGTTTTAACAAATTATTTTTTTGATTTATTCAAGTTTTTTCTGAGTCCCAGCTTGTCTTTTATGCCTCAGTGGGTTCTGGGTTCTATTCTAGTGTTAGGCTGCTGTCATGATTCTTTGGGTTTTACCCAGCCCCTCTTTCTATTGAAGATTTGGTTTTTGGAGTCATATAATCTCCCATGGGTGTAGTTGCTGTGTGGGTTCAGTACATAAACCTGGTTATTGATAATAAAAATATGTATTGCAGCTGATTCTTTGAAGAGAAAATGCTGTTATCACCAAAAACTGTACATTGTCACCAAAATCTGTACTTTCTTGCAGCCTGTTGTTTGAAGAGAAAATGTTGTCACTAAAAACTGTACTTTCTTGCAGCCTGTTGTTTGAAGAGAAAATGTTGTCACTAAAAACTGTACTTTCTTGCAGCCTGTTGTTTGAAGAGAAAATGTTGTCACTAAAAACTGTACTTTATTGCAGCCTGTTGTTTGAAGAGAAAATGTTATCACTAAAACTACTTTCTTGCAGCCTGTTGTTTGAAGAGAAAATGTTGTCACTAAAACTACTTTCTTGCAGCCTGTTGTTTGAAGAGAAAATGTTGTCACTAAAACTACTTTATTGCAGCCTGTTGTTTGAAGAGAAAATGTTGTCACTAAAACTACTTTATTGCAGCCTGTTGTTTGAAGAGAAAATGTCACTAAAAACTGTACTTTATTGCAGCCTGTTGTTTGAAGAGAAAATGTTGTCACTAAAAAACTGTACTTTATTTCAGCCTGTTGTTTGAAGAGAAAATGTTGTCATCCCCACGCTACCAGATGGCCGTGGAGGCATTTGTGGCCTCCTTGGTCCTGGCCCTGATCACATTTTGCTGCCACATTATGTTTGACTTTGCTCGCACCACGGGATTCATCACCCTGACGGTGGTGAGCCTCACCTTACAATCCCTGGTCTTCGTGGACACCATCACCAACATCGTGTGGTTGGAGGTAGGTGGCATCTAACTAACACACAACCTTTCACTTGAGTCATACATTTGAAAATGAAATTGTATTAGTATGGTAGAGTATTCATAAAGAACAGGTAAATCCATCTTAACTACATTCATCACATCCTTATGGTCAGCTACTTGCAGGCTTCTGACTTAACCAATCTTGCTTTTGAAGTTAGTAAAGTTAGTATTTAAAAATGGGAGTAGTTTACTAAAATTACAGTTTCAGTCTGGCTTCATTTATAAAATGGCACTTAACTAAAATAAAAAGGGTTGCAGGGCGTGGTGAAGCCTGCAATGTTCTAGCCTTGATGATGTGCTAGACCACAGGCACCCCTTATCAGATCTACCAGCCACCCATAACTATCATGGTTGACAACAGCTTTTAATCATTTTAATGCATATGTGCTGCTTAATATACATAACGGATACTTTAAAACCCTTTTTTTTTTTTGCAGAAAAAGAAGAAAAAATTCCCGAAATACATGAGATTTACACAAAGTTGGTTCTTCCGCAACACGATTGGTGTTGTCATGGCTACACTACCAGCTGTCTTGATCTACACCAACATGTCCTGTGCTCTGGTTATAAACAAACACTGGAACGACCGTTTCTTCTGCTATAGCATTGTCGTAGCTTTACTGCAGTACTGCAACTACAGCATGCTGCGTTTTATCGCTAAATCTATTGTAGCTTTTATTTTAGGCTCCGTACTTATCTTTCTACTCTTTGCGAATTTGTGTTCGGACCATTGGGAGGACTTGATAGAAGTCTCCAATGATACATCTGCTTTCAAGCCACAACTGTTTTACGGACATCATTTGATCCGCTATGAAACCATCCTCAATATTGTTCTCTTGCTGCTGCTTATCACAGTCATCAATTATGAATTTGAAAATTCCTACCGTCTGAGTTTCTATGCCAGCCAAAAAGCTCAAAGGGACAAAGAGAACATGCAGCTGAACAAGGATCAAGCTGATTGGCTGCTGCATAACATCATCCCTGCACATCTGGCCGAGTTGTTCAAACACAACCGCAGCTACTCCCAGAACCACATGGACGTGGGGGTCATCTTCGCCACCATCGTCAACTTTAACGAGTTTTACGACGAAACCTACGCCGGTGGGAGGGAGTACCTGCGCGTGCTCAATGAGCTGGTCAGTGACTACGAGGTGATGCTCAGTGAGCCGCGCTTCAAAGATGTGGAGAAAATAAAGACCATCAGCTCCTCTTTCATGGCAGCAGCCGGACTCAATGAAGAAAGTCGTGCCAAAAATAGACACCCTTACGCTCACCTGTTTGCGTTGATGGATTTTGCAATGGAGTTACTGAACGTGGTGCACAATTTTAATGAGAGTATTTTTAACTTTGAGTTTATTTTAAAAATTGGGTATAACTACGGACCAGTGACTTCCGGAGTTATTGGCACAACAAAACTGCTGTACGATATATGGGGGGACACTGTGAACATTGCTAGTCGTATGTACTCAACAGGGGAGGAGAACAGGATCCAGCTGCCCCAGAGTTCAGTTGACCTGCTGAGCTGTATGTTTGATTTCACCTACAGAGATGAGATTTTTGTCAAGGGGAAAGGCATGATGAAAACCTACCTGTTGGTGGGCAAAAAGAGAGGAGCCAATTGGGAATGATCTCAGCCTGACTGTTTGTTTTATGTTATTCCAATCGTAGGAATTATTTTTTTCAAACAAAAAAAAAGCAATTTAATGTGTATCACTTACCAAGAACAGGCTGTTAAGGTATATTTTTTACTGCACTTATTTCTGGGCTGTGTGGCTGCCAGAAATGGTTTTAAATTTTGTTATGACTGTTGTTATACCCATCATTTTTTTGTTTTCTTAACCTTCATCTCCCAATTGTTGAATTATTTTTTTACTTAAACAGAGGATTTTTTTTTTAAAAACACTGGTGCGATCTACCAAACTGCTTGTTGAAGACCATGTTTTTTTAAAATCTCAAACCAAAGCTTCAAATTGTTTTGTCACTTTGATACTGGATGATATTTTTTTTTAAGTTGCTCAATTTATTTTCTTCTAATATATTTTATGCATTCACTTGTTTGATTTTATTTGGCTCATCGTCTGTATACATTAATTTTACTTTTATTAATTTTTATCCAAAATAGGTGCAGTAAAAATGTCAGTCAAATGTTTGGTTTTTTGAAGTCTTTGAATAATGTTTACTAATACATGGATTTTCAACTCATTTATTTATACACTATTTTTACAGAATACTAGGTGATTATAAGCTTCATTTTTATATTAAAATATACAATAGTTCAAACCTTTTTGAGAATTAAATGAAACATCTTTTTTTAAGCTATTTATAATGCAAGTCATTTTTCATTTAATATTTACCAAGGTGTATATTTATTTATAATGGTGTATGTTTTGTTTGAATAAACCAATGTATTTTACTGAGTACTCAAGATGTATTGTAAAACAGACATATTGTTTTTAAATAGACAGTGAGGACTATACACAAATCTGGTGATCAAATGTTCTGCTTACAATTGACTGTATCAAATGTTTCTGTTGACATTTATAAGAGCACACTTTGCAAGTAAAGCAAATACTGGCTTAGTTAACCCACGTATTCTCCTTTTAATTCAGGTATTCTTGTTACTTCCCATTCTGTGTGGTCAGCAAATCATGAACTAATAATTACTAAATGTTAGCATCTGTTTAAAAACTTCTAAGATTATTATTTTTACCCATCAACTTAAAATTTTTTTTTATTTTACTTAAATCTACAAATAAATGTAACATATTAACATATTCAGAGTATGTTAGTTGTTATGAAACCTACTTACTGGCATGAATTTATCTTTTAGTTTACAGTAGTTATTTAAAAGAAAGAGATTTGTCAAGGTTATATGTCTTCCATGTCATATCTCTTAAGTAATTTTTATGTGTGACTCTATTGCCAAAAGAAAATGACTACTTTTAAGCGCTACTAGTTCTAGTGTGTATAAAATTAAATATTTTACTTTGGAATGAAAAAAGTAGATTGAAATATTAAACAGATAATTAATTTTACTGGACATTCAATGGGAATTTTTAAAAACTAGTTGTTTATTTATTTATTTTAAGATCACAATTTTGTGAAAGTTAATGTGGGCACAGTGGCCACTTTGGCCACACACAAATTGCTCAAGTTGTTGACCTGTAGGCTACCAAAAGTTTACATTATTTCACCTGGCAAGTATTGAAGCAATGATTAAGACAAGTAATAACTGATAAAAAGAATCATTTCAATGCTTTTTTTTTTACTGACTGCTTGTAAATGTGTATATACATATATGTATTTTAACCCAATAAAATAACAATTTCCTTGTCTATGTGCTGCTTTCATGTGTACAAGTTCAGTGTTTTTTCTTCAACATTTCCCTACATGCAGGCTCAAATATAAACCTATACTGTGTACAATTTTAATGAACTATGATCACTTTTTTAAAGGAAGGAAGGATAACTTGTACACCCCAGCTAAGGGAGCTAAGCATGAAGAGTTACATGATTGTACCATCAGCCTTATATTCTCTAGAAGCCATCATCTTACCATTATGTTTACCTGTTTTTATAATTTTTATTTTACTGTTTGTTCTGTTACATTTTTATAAATAATCACTTCAATTCTTTATTTATTAAGATATAGGTATTTCATTTTGTATTTGCTTTCATATACATCAGCATTATTTGTTGTTTTCTTTCTGTTGAAAAGATGTCTGAAAAACTTGGTCTCAGCTAGTCTAGGCATGTACATCAAGAAAAAAAAATCAACATTCACTTCCTTTTACATTATTTGATGCATAATAATTTACAAGATAACAGTTCAGAATGAACTGTATATACTTATTTTGTATAAATACACCACATAATGGTACGCTAACTTTATCATTCATCAGGAAAAAGACAAGCTTGTCTATATACACCATTGATTTGCTTTTATCAATTATAAAACAGCTTATAAGTTAAAAAAGAAAGTTGATACTACCTCAAAGAAAGTGATAAGCTTTGGTTCCATTTGTTTTATTTAACTCAAGTTCATGTTTGTCTTGAAATTTTGAAGTTTACACGTTTTAACAGCTTTATTATTTTTATGGTATAGAGTATTTTAATAGTAATTTATTTTTCAACAGATTTAAGTTTTTCTAGTGTGTAGATTTTTAAATTTTATAATTATTGAATTGGTTCAAATTAATTTTCATTTTGTAATTTTGTTTTTACTTATACCAAGATTGGTTGTGTTAAATGGATGAGTTGTTTTCCAAATATAAAATATTAGTAATCAGGAAAGTATTTTTAGAATCTTCATTATACATAACTTGAAAAATAATTTTCATCTGGGTAACTTGACCTCGATATGACAAGTTTATGGGGGGAAATTCTTTACATTTAAAAGTCATCTAAAACTGGGCTTGTAATTTTTTTTTAAAAGGATAAGCACAAACTGAATTCTAAATGAAATTAGTATGAATCAACCTGGAAGTTCCTAATTCCTAGTATCTCAAAAATACACTCTAACAAGTTTTGGAAAATGATTCTTTAGTTGTTTGTTTTTTAAAAGTCTCAGTCTAATTGAACCCACATTTTTTATGACATGTAACATACTAACAACCTCTTGTAAGTCTTACTCTTTTGCTCTCACCCAGGGAAGCGGCCAAAATCTTGTAACTAACTGGCATATGCTTTAAATTTATGAAACCAAAAAAAACTTGGCAAATGCTATTTAAGTATGTGCTAAAAATCTGGCTACTGCTATTTATAAGTATGGTTGCAGTTATTTTTTGTTCAATTTTTTTTTAATTTACAAGTTTCCTAACTATTGTTTATGTTATGCTTTAAAGTTGATAATTTTTAAATTCGAAGTGAAGAAATTGTTTAGATTTATTATTTAGATTATACTTACCAATACCACAGAAGTGATTAAAGAATCTACTTTTTTTAAAAACCGTCCAATAACCCACTCTGCTGTTTGAGGAAAACTTTTATTTTCACATGTAACATGGAAAGATTTCTAAAAAACAGAATTTTTTTTTTGTTGGCGAAATCTTTTCTCTTGCTAAGACGACTTAATAAAATATAAGAAAATATGAATTTGCAAAACTACTTTGACTGAAGAACACAATGCTACTTATTGCTTTATATCTTGGTGCTAAAATAGAAAATGAGAGGCTTTGTATGGTGAATCAACAGGATTGTTTATTTATTTTTTAATTGCTCCTTAAAATCTCACTAGAGCCTTATCGAGATCAAATCACACTAATAATTAATTCTTCTCACAGTAACACATCACTAGATTATTTCATAAGTAGGTTTCAGAATTTCGGCTTCCCAGTAACCTGCTTTATTTATAGAATTTAAAATTTGTTTAACTTATTGGTAATCTACTTATTTTATGTCTAGAACTTACAATTAGTTAACCTAATGCTAACCTACTTTATTTATTTATATAAGTAGATTGACCAGAAGTAGCTTGACTTTATAGTGACCTACCTTACTTTCAAATTTAAATATTGATTGACCTAATGGTAACTTTATTTAAAAACAAAGTTCAGGTTTTAATTGACTTGTTGCCAACAATTAGCTTTCTTTACAGAATGAAAATCTGGACTGGTTTGTCCAACTCATTACTTAAATTACTGGTTTTATCATTATAAATGTAGCGTTTTGGTGATCTTTAGCTGGGTGTCATACTTTCAATGCTAGTCAACAATCAGCTGTAATTGTATGCTTCTACGTCATTTAGTCTTATTTTGTATGAAAACATGAGGGCACGTTTGTTCAGTCTTTACTCCAGTATTTGGACAACCTGATTTCATTTGATTTTTACCAGTAAGTAAAGAGGATTTTTTTTTATTCTTACCAAAATGTCTTATTTACCATTTTGTGTTAAAAATTTCTTCTGTGTGGGGATTTTTTATAACTTTTATTCAACTGGCATGGAGTAATAAAAATGTGCTTTGTATGCTTTAAACTCTGTGGGGTGAGAGAGGTGTGCTTTCTGTCCTTATCTTCCATGTGGTACCTAACAGACAATGTTTGACAACTACTAAGTGTGATATTATTTATAGTTTTGGTTGTACTTTCTTGTTAAAACCCCCCCAAGATAGTTTGGTTGTTTGCTTCTACAGCACACCTAGAAGTACCAAACCTGACCCCTATCCTAAACCTAATTGTAATCCTAATATTTCTTAATCTCAGGATTAACGGGAAAGTACCCTTTTATTTTTACTCATCACCAATTAGTGAGAGCATTGCTTCAATAATCTTGATCCTACTCTAGTTTTGTGTTTTATTTTCTAGATTTAGAAGTGGCTAACTCAAGAAAGCATTACCCCTAACTATAAGATTTAAACTAATTCATGTATTTTAATATAAATATTTCTTAAATAGTCTTATTATTATTTGAAACTTGAAAAAATAAAAAATTATCGACTGCTGTTTTTATTTTGGGTGGTGAAATTTTTGGCTGTGGATTATTGTTCAGCTTTTCATTTTTGTCTTGCCACTGAAAAACAAGTGACCTCTGTGACACTGAACTGATGATAGTCCATATATGGTCTGAAACTTGTGTGATAGTTGGCATAAAAACAAGTGACCTCTGTGACACTGAACTGATGATAGTCCTTATAATAATGGTCTTAATCTTGTGTGATAGTTGGCCTTGTGGAGACTGGTTAGTGACATTCATCTGTTAGTGACATTCATCTGTTAGTGACATTCATTTGTTAGTGACATTCATTTGTTAGTGACATTCATCTGTTAGTGACATTCATCTGTTAGTGACATTCATTAGTTAGTGACATTTGGTTAGTGACCATCTGTTAGTGACGCTAGGGCTCGTGTCATTCTGTTTGCGACATTTGTTGAGTGACATTTATTTTATGACATTAGGCTAGTCAGACTTGTGACTTTGAGTGTTTGCTAGCTGATTCTGCATTCTGCCTACCCCTCTTGTATGGGGTACAGTGATAATGGATTGTTTTAAAACACATTTTAAAACTTTTTTTTTTAATTCATTCAATTCTCTCCTGTTTATTTTTAAATAAGAATATTTATATTGAAGCATTTTAGTGATAGAAATATACTAGTTGTTGATATATCATATATTTGTCATTGTGACTACTAATTTTCTGTGTGAATTGATTAATAAAATATTTATTTTCAGTCTGGTCTGTTTTATTTTTTCTCATTTCAAAATGGTAAATAATAGATTGTTTTGTAGATTGTGTGTTTAGACAGTATTTTCATAAGGCGTGTAATTGCTGTTTTGAAATAGAAATCTCATTTACCTTGCACTTTGTGCTCAACTGTTTTATAAGTAGATCTACATGTGTCGTCTATTAGAAATTTCGTCAACCTAACTGAAACGATACATTATGTTTAGCACTTAAAAAGATATAAAAAAAAAGGAATAACGTAGAGATGTGTGAAAAAATCTGTAGGCCCTATCAGTGGCGTAGCGAGGTCGGGTGTCCCCCGGTGCGGCACTTAATCGTGTCACCCCCCAGAGGCGTAGCGACCCTTCCCGGGGACAAACTTTCAAATTTTCGATTTGCACCCCCACCCCCTCAAACTTTCGATTTGCACCCCCCCTCAATTCTCTATATATTTTGCCTTGGTGTCACCCCCCTAAATGGTGTCACCCGGTGCGATCCGCACCCCCCACCCTCGCTACGCCCCTGGGCCCTATATGATAAAGTAAACAGAACAAATTGGTTGTTTATTTTGGCCTGCACCAGCCTCGTCCCCGCCTCTACTGCTATGCTGGTGCGGACACTGCAGCAATCAGCTGGCTGGGGGTCGACGTGGTCGGGTCGGTAAAGCTCATGATTTCTAAAATTGAAAAAATCCCGAGTTCGAACACTGAGCAGATGAATCTCAATAGCTGGGGACCGCAGCTCATCTAAGGGAGAAAACTCCAAAATCAAACAACTGCTATGGAAAGCAGGCTGCAATCTGAGTCAACTGCCCATATGGCGTATAACAAGTATATGGCGTATAACAACAACAGAATACTTAATTGCGTTATAGGGAAGAGAATCCCTCTAACAATAGTATTACGAACGAAGAAGAAAAGCTGGCTGTAAACATGTACCTCAGATGTTAGCGTTAATAGCAAGGAAAGTTATGTAGTAGCTGCTTAGCCACATAGAATTGGAGAAAACCCCAGCTGAATGAAAGCTAGGCGAGGAATAATGTTTCTGTTTTCCCCAAGTATGGTCTTGACAAGAATACATCCTGGAGAGACCTTGGACAAAAACTTAGACAGAGAACATGCAGGTTTTCAACAAGGTAGATCTATAGAATGGCGATTCCTCTACAGACCTAAATGACCTTTGTATTACTTTCTATTCACACTTAATGGTGTGAAGAGAAGTTACCTACTTGGGGGTCATCCATAAATTATGTCACCCTTTTTTTTTTGACGATTTTTACCTCCCCCTCTCCCCTCCGTCACACATCGTCACAAAAAAACATACCCCCCCCCCTAAAATGACGTCACACCTCAGCCTACAACCCCCCTCAAAATTGCAGTTGAATTTTTCTTAAAACATCGATATTTTTCCAAAATCTTGTCTGAACTCAGTCAAAATAGTGTATTTTAATAAATTCCTATTGCAATTTATTAAAACTGTTTTCTAAAACGCGAAATATCGTCTAAAATTCGTTTTCTAACATCGCTTTTTTATAATGCAAAAGTGTGATGTCGCACCATCTGAACCCCCTTCCCCTCGTCACACACCGTCACAAAATTACGGACCCCCCCCCCCTCCCCCCTGTGAGTGTGACGTCATTTATGGACGACCCCTTGATCACATATGGTATGCCTCAATGACGACATTATATATATATATATATATATATATATATATATATATATATATATATATATATATATATATACATATATATATAGTTTTGATGTATGTTTAAACAAGGATTGGTGTGAACGAATATTAGTGCGAAAGTTAATGACGCATTGATTAGTTACGCGGTTCGCAAGAATGTGACGTTTTACTTTAGTGTAGGTTCGTTGTTGTCGGGGAAAGAAGTTAAAAAGTACACTTGTTCTTGTTGTGTTAGAGTGATGTCGTAATGTAGTCCAGTCTTAGTATTGTTCGTTCAAGTCGTCCTTTGTAATGCAATAAATAGTAAAATTAATGTCATCCTGTAGAATCATTTGTATACCTTGATGTCGTCGTGCTTTGGGATGAACTACTGAATGGCTAGAAAGAATATAATGGTAGTGTAGACCCTCTCACTTCATAGTTGCGGGACACATAGACCCAGGTATAACATATATACATATATATATATATATATATATATATATATATATATATATATATATATATATATATATATATATATATATATATATATATATATATATATATATATATATATATATATATACCGAGGGGTCTATGGGGGGGGGTTATGACCCCCTTTAACCCCCCTGCCTGCGCCACTGCATATAGGTATTCGCATAGATTTAGAGTAGCGTCCTTTTATCCGTTGCGCCTTTTGTTTTGCGCTTTTTTCCGTTGCGCTTTTTTCCTTCGCGGTTCTTTCCGGCCACCGTCATGCCGAATCCCCCCCCCCCCTCCCCCCGCAGACAATCTGGAACGTAATATTAAAATCAAATATTAAATTTATAATTCAACCACACTATGGTAAACTGATGGGGCGAGTAGTTTGGGTGTGGGTGTGGAAGGGGGTGGGAGAGCTTACAAAATAAGAAAATAAGGCTCCTCGTTAGAGGCATCTTATTTATCTAATAAAATACATCAAAATTCAAAGACTAGTTCTCTCTTTCTTCGTGAGAGTTTTAAGTGTTTAAGAAGCATTCTTAAATTTAAAGTATGGGGGAAAATCCACCTTCGGTTTAAAACAACTCAAAGAAAATAATGCAAATTGAAACGTGTTGGATTTGTGTGATGTAGTATTACATTTTTAAAACAAGTTACGAGAAAGAATTCCGAATTATACCCTTAGTACTTCACAACGTTGATAGATACTTTAGTTATACAAAACAGTTTAAAAAAGATCTAAGCTAGGTTAACAAATATATAGATACTGATATATGTGTATGTTGTCTGGTGACTACAGTTAGATCGGTTGTGTGATGACGGAGTTTTGTGTGTACGTGAAAGTGCTACGTGTAAACAATGTGTAGTGAGGTGGTGTAAAATTCGTGTATGTTCGATGGGTGTAGGACAGTGTCTAGTGCAAGGTTAACATGTGTTGGTGTGTTTTGACGTGTGGGTGGGTGAGCTCGTGTTCAGGGTACGACCAATGGGAGATGGTCAAACGGAAACTACTGGTGGCAAGGACAACCGAGAGGGGAGGGGAGATAAATGAAACAACACGCATGTCAAAACCCATGGCATGGTGTGTTCAACAACTATTTCCCTTTCTTGTGAAAACAGGCCGGTTGTGTTAATTATTGATGTAGGAATTTTTTTGCCGTGTGTTGGTTATTGTAAAGACCTTTACAAGATAAACTAGCTCAACTGTATAACGTAACTATCTTTGGTACACACATTTAAATGGGCAAAGTTGTCTGGATTCTGTGTGTGGATAATGATTTGTTCGTGGAATAAGCAAGGACTGTTTATTTTTGAACATCGTCACTACGTAGTCAATAGAACCCATCAACAAGAAAATCAAACATGAGGAAACATCAACAAGAGGCTTCTTCAACTAAAGGACCGTTTTAACTTGAGAACCCATTAAATACTGGACCCATCAGCTAGAGGACCCTTCAGCTAGAGGACCCATCAGCTAGAGGACCCATCAGCTAGAGGACCCATCAGCTAGAGGACCCATCAGCTAGAGGACCCATCAGCTAGAGGACCCATCAGCTAGAGGACCCATCAGCTAGAGGACCCATCAGCTAGGGACCCATCAGCTAGAGGACCCATCAGCTAGAGGACCCATCAGCTAGAGGACCCATCAGCTAGAGGACCCATCAGCTAGAGGACCCATCAGCTAGAGGACCCATCAGCTACAGGACCCATCAGCTAGAGGACCCATCAGCTAGAGGACCCATCAAATAGAGGACATCGGTTAGAGGACCCATCAGCTAGATGACCAGAAATGGTGAAAATCAGATAAGTGTGTAGCATAAGTGTATATGTACACAGTAAACAAAAACATATCACAAACCAACGAACATAAGCTACCACCATTAACCGACAACAGACCACGATAGACCACAAAACTACGAACCACAACTAACACCACTAACCGACAACCGACCAACCAACGACAACTAATCCACTAATCGACGACCAATCGACTAACACCAATAACCGACAACTGACCTACGAATGACAACCGACCAACCAACGAAAACTAATTCACTAATCGACGACCAACCAACCAACGACCACAAAAATACGAACCACAACTAACACCACTAACTGACAACCGACCAACCAACGACAACTAATCCACTAATCGACGACCAACCAACCAACCAACCAACCAACCAACGACCACAAAACTACGAACCACAACTAACACCACTAATCGACAACCGACCAACCAACGACAACTAATCCACTAATGGACGACCAACCAACCAACGACCACAAAAATACGAACCACAACTAACACCACTAACCGACAACCGACGAACCAACGACAACTAATCCACTAATCGACGACCAACCAACCAACGACCACAAAAATACGAACCACAACTAACACCACTAACCGACAACCGACCAACCAACGAAAACTAATTCGCTAATCGATGACCAACTAACCAACTACCACAAAACTACGAACCACAACTAACACCACTAACCGACAACCGACCAACCAACGACAACTAATCCACTAATCGACGACCAACCAACCAACGACCACAAAAATACGAACCACAACTAACACCACTAACCGACAACCGACCAACCAACGACAACTAATTCACTAATCGACGACCAACCAACCAACGACCACAAAAATACGAACCACAACTAACACCACTAACCGACAACCGACCAACCAACGACAACTAATCCACTAATGGACGACCAACCAACCAACGACCACAAAAATACGAACCACAACTAACACCACTAACCGACAACCGACCAACCAACGACAACTAATCCACTAATCGACGACCAACCAACCAACGACCACAAAAATACGAACCACAACTAACAACACTAACCGACAACCGACCAACCAACGACAACTAATCCACTAATCGACGACCAACCAACCAACCAAGCAACGATCACAAAACTACGAACCACAACTAACACCACTAACCGACAACCGACCAACCAACGACAACTAATCCACTAATCGACGACCAACCAACCAACCAACCAACCAACCA